GAAAGATCTTAAAAATATTACTGCAAAAAATGAAGTTGTTGTTATTATATACCATTGTACAATATTAAAATATATCGCGCAATAATTATCTATAATTTGCATATATGAGCGTTTTTTATATGTAATTATAAGTAATATAAAAGTCATGACAAATTAATTTGGCCGTGCGTTATCTCTATCACTTCATGGCTAGAAACCGTCCGAACTCTCGAAATTATTTTCTTCCTGAATTATGAATATAAAGCAACGTGAATAGAAAATCAGGGAATGAAAGGGAGGACGCCGACGTCTGTCTTACGATAAGATCGCTGCTGGCTCGCTTCAGTTTATCGTCGCGATTGTCTATTCGCTGGTGGTGAGACAAAGACCGATTCTCCGTTTTTATCTAACTAATCCAGCTCGCTCGTGAACATAGCACAGAACAGAACCAAATAATTATGGACATAGAACGGAATAGTACCAACAAATCGTGGACATTGGCTTAGTAGTTCATTTCCATGAAAAATGACCCAGTTGGCGCTTCGAATCAGCCAATATTTCGATAACGCTGTAAATGCAGCCATGCTCGCTTTCAGGCTTCTCGTTGGTTGCGTATAGATTTAAGAATTGGGCCCCAGTGCTGCGATTCTGTAATTCATTATTGGAGTTGCAGAATCGCAGTTAGACTACAGAATGGAGTTATTGTTGCGCAGCTTTTCTACGGTATACAAAAGCTGCGCAACGAAAGTGTCGTTAACTCCAATAACGAGTTACCGAATCGCGATACTGGGCTGCATTCTGAAATTCACTGCCAGTGCACTGAAAATCTATAGTATAGTCACTCAAACTATGTATTTTCAGTACTGGCAGTGAATTTCGGAACGCAGCCCAGTAAGTTGTGGAACCGGGCGTTAAAAGAACAGACCATCAGTCTCTGTATTACTGGCATGACAGATTTCCTAACCTCGTATGTATAATTCTTTATCACTTCATAACTTTCGATCCGTTTGAGAGCAACACTTTTTTCCTTTTCCTTTTTTCCAAATTCGCGTTCTACGCACCAAAATAAACATTTGTGCAAAGTTTCAGCGAAATTGGTGGGGAGGCCCGTATCCTTTACAATTACCATATATTGTATCGATAACAATCTAAAATATACAGAGATAGGACGTTCGTATAGATAACTGGAGCTTTCGTATCTATTGTCTATCGACTTTCCTGATATTATATCAATAAAATCAGTGACTAATTTGTTGAAAATGATTCAACAATATCATGTTCAAGGCTACGAAAATTTTCTTAGATATGTTGAGAAATTGAAGAAAAAAGAGCCAATTTATGTACTGTATACCGGTACAAAATTAGCTAACGGCAAAAGTTGGTGTCCGGATTGCGTGAATGGTAAGTCATGTTGAGTATACCTATGCTGGTTGTGTTTTGATATTAATTATATTTAGCAAAAAGTGCTGTTTTATAACTATTGTAAAATTCATAAATCTAATTGGTATATGATCTTAAATTTAATCAAGATAAGGTGCATATATCAATTAAATTTATGAATTTTATACAATTGCAAAGTAGTTCTTTCATTTTTTGCTGAATGTAGTCATTTATTAATAGTATTGAGAATCATATAACATATGTAATCTACAATATACACAACATAAATTGTAGGTTTTTATATCAATACAGAATATTAGAATATAATTGTTATATAACTTTTTTGTTTGTTTTTGTTATTTCTATGTAATTATTGATAGTAATAATGCACAAATAAAAAATTCAGCTATATATAAAATCTATTCTTATTCATCATATCAACTTTGTGAATGTTTTTTTCCTTTTCTTTTGTACGTGATAAGTAAAGTATGTAAGTAGTTATAATTTAATTTTATGTAGTTGCCATATTTAGATATTTTTAGCAGGTATGTTTTGATAATCAGTGCTAATATTAAAATACATATTATACATAACATGAGAAATAGATTTTCAATACGGATAGTGAATATCAAGAAACAGTGGTAATTGTTCTAAGTCATATGACCTATGTATATTCTGAATATAGAATTAGAATTGAAGGCTGTTGGATATTTAGGTAAAATTAACATGAAAGAATCATGAAAAGAGTAAAGTTGAATAGCTGAATTGCATATTACGTTATTTTTATAGTAATTTATTGATTGATAGAATAAAAGTAATTTGTTAGAAAACCAGTAAAATTTTCTCTTCTTCAATATTTCCTCTTTAAAATGCACTTGTTATTTTTTAGATATAAGTAAGCTTTTTTATATACAAATTTACAAAATGTAGCAAAGCAAAATGTAAAAGTAAAAATTGAATAAATTGCATGTTTTTATTAAATTCAATATATTCTGGTAAAAAAAAGAGACAAGAATCCTGAAGTTACTATAAATTTAAAGTTTAGAATTTATTAATTACGAGTCCAACATGACATGGTTGCAATGTTTTTAAACTTATATCTTCATGTTCAAAATTATGATTTTTAATAAAATAGCATTCACTATCTTCTATTGTAACAGAACTGCTATGCACGATTTCATGCAAATCCATATTGTATTGTAATAATATATATAGTGTCATACAAGGGAATATCCCGAGATCTTACATTTAGATGCACTTTTATTGGAATGTATAGTGATTTAATACATGAATAATACATACATGAATATATCATTAGTGTTTGTTTTCTATCACTTTTTAAAAGCATGATTTTTAATCTAAAAGCTAAAAGAATGCTTCTAGTTTTTAGCATATAATTATTAAATTACAAAAGATAGAGAAAAATATATAAAGTAAAAGTTCAATGATAAATTAAGTTTTATAAAGGAACATAAAAATATTAAAAACATTTTTTATTACTTATTATTATTATAAATTTATTATTATAAAAGAAGTTTTTTCTCTTGTATTATTTTGAGGAATGTTTGCATCTTTACAATAAAAAAATAGCATATTTTTTTTAATTCATCTATATACAGTGCTGGCAAGAAGTTCGGCAATGATTGAAAATCTTGGGAAATATTGATTTTTTGGACAAATGTTTCAAACAAAAGGAATAGGGTTTAAAAAAATCTATTAGATGATGATATCTATCTGACCTTGATATAACTTTGAAAAGCTCAGTCATGGTCAATATAAAAATCTTAAACGAAAACCCCAATTTTTTATTACACTATATTTTTCTACCAATTAATATAAACAACTTTTGTCTGAAACATTTTTTTATTTGCTTAATATTTTTTTGAGATATTTAAGGAAAACTTGATAACTTTTTCAATATTTAACTCACGATATCTCGCTAACTATTTTTTAGAAGAAAAAGTGGTACTATATTGGATTGGCAAATAAGTTCGTTCGGTTTTTTGGAGTAGAATAAAACACAATTTTTTGATACATAAGATAAATTTTAATCAATTATATATTGGCCATCTTTATCGATGACCTCTAGCCATCTTTCCACCAACTTCATTATGCCGTGTTCGTCAAACATCTGGGACTTATTGGCAAAAAACCAATCCAGGTGGTTTTTAACGGCCTCTTCATCCTTGAAGGCTTTCCCGTTCATAGAGTTCTGCAGCGACCGGAATAAATGATAATTGGAAGGGGCAAGATCCGGTGAATGCGGAGAATAAGGCAAAACATCCCAACTAAGCAATTTGTTCCGAATGATCAATGACGTGTGAGATCTGGTGTTGTCATGGTGGAAGACGCCCTTGCGATTTGCCAATTCTGGACGTTTTGTGCGGATTGCTTGGTTCAATTTCGTCAATTGTGAACAGTATACAGTTGAATCAATCATTTTGCCTGACGGTAACAGTTCGTAATAGATGACACCCTTGAAATTCCACCATACGGAGAGCATTATTTTTGTCGGATGCAATCCCGCCTTCGAAGTTGTTTGCGGTGACTCGCTGCTGTGCCCCCATGATCTTTTACGCGTTACATTACCGTAGACGACCCATTTTTCGTCACCCATCACTATTCGTTTAAAAAATGGGTTGTTTTCTTGGCGTTTCCATACCAAATCGCAGATGGATATGCATGTGGTCAAGTTAGCCTCGGTTAATTGATGCGGCACTCAAACATTAAGCCGAGAAACGTATCCCAGCTGGCGCAAATGCTTTCCTACGCTTGTGTGGAATATATTCAATGTTGTAGCAATCTCGTACCGATTGGGATGGATTTACTTCGATTATAGCCTTAATGTCACTTGAATTAATCTCGGTCGGGCGACCGGAGCGGGGCGCATCATTGATGTCGAAATCTTTAGAACGGAAATTGGCATACCACTTTTGGCGTTCTGTTAAGGCATCATCTCCATACACACTGCATATCTTTTTATGAGCATCCGCAGCTCGTTTGCCCTTTTTAAAATAATAGAGCAAAATGTGACGACAATGCACGTTATTTATTTCCATATTCACAGCTACGCAGCACACACAATACTGATGTTAGCCAAACCAAACACAGCACATAAATAGTGAAACATAACCTTTCAAATGTGTATTCGATTTGCACGATAGTGCTGAGAAAAAAAAGCGAATCCGCATGAAAGTTACACTGAAACAAAAACCGAACGAACTTATTTGCAACCCAATACTTTTCTACTCTTTAATCTTAAGAATATATTGTTATAATAGCGCCCTGATTTTTGTTAATTTGATGATTTTCAAATTTCCAAAAGTCAGTAAGTTAACAAAAGTCAAAGTGCTATTATAACAATATATTCTTGAGATTAGAGCAGAAAAGTATCACTTTTTCTTCCGACAAATAGTTGAGATATCGTGAGTTAAATATTGAAAAATTTATCAAATTTTCCTTAAATATCTCAAAAAATATTAGGCAAATAAAAAATGTTTCAGACAAAAATTATATAAATTTATTGGTAGAAAAAGATAGTGTAATAAAAATTGGGGTTTCCATTTAAGAAATGTAATGATCAATGAGTATTTCGAAAATGGTGCCATTTGTAAACAAAATAATATAGTTATTTTATGTCTCCCTTGAAATCATACAATTTGGATAAAGTTCCAAAAAGCGCATCCCTCCGATTGGGCTCAATTTTTTAGCAAAGCTTCTCCTTAGCTCAAAAATGAAAACTCTTCAAGAATTTTTGGCGACAAAACCCCATTCACTTCTTTCTCTCACAGTTTAAAATGTTTTTCTACTATATCTTCGAAAATATTAAGAGTACAAATAATTCCGCCGTTTTCTATCAAAAATTAGGAATTGTGAAAGAACGGTACATTACGTTTTATTCAAAGTATTGTCTATCACTAGCCACTACTTTTTCCCATCTTTCTGGCAGCATTCGGATACCACATCGGAAGAACTCTTCATCTTTTGAGGCTATCCACGAATCGATCCAATTTTTAGTATCTTCATATGATGTAAAGCGCTGCTTAGACAGGTCATGTGCCATCGACCGGAACAAGTGATAATCGGAAGAGGCAATGTCTGGTGAATACGGCGGGTGGGGTAGGACTTCCCAATTAAATGTTTCCAAATAGGTTTTAACCAGTTTTGCAACATGTGGCCGAGCGTTGTCATGTAGAAGAATAATTTTGTCATGTCTGGAGTAGTAATGGGCGCATTTTTCCTTGAGTGCTCGGCTCATTCTTATTAATTGTGTTCGGTAGAGAGCTCCAGTAATAGTTTCGCTCGGTTTGAGCAACTCATAATATACGACACCAAGCTGATCCCACCAAATACACAGCATGAGTTTTTTTCCATGAATATTCGGTTTGGCTGTCGATGTTGAAGCATGGCCAGGTGGTCCCCATGATTTTCTCTTCTTTGGGTTACCGTAGTGGATCCATTTTTCATCACCAGTGACTATACGATGCAAAGAACCCTTTCTTTTATGCCTGGCAAGCATCATTTTACACGTGCAAAATCGGCGTTCAACGTCTCTCGGCTTCAGTTCATATGGAACTAAATTTCTTTGTTTTTGAATCATTCTCAACGATTTTAAACGATGTGAAATTGCTTGTTGAGTCACTTCTAATGTAAGTGCAAGTTCTTCTTGCGTTTGGCACGAATCTCCCTCCAATAATGCTTCCAATTCCGTGTCTTCGTACACTTTCGGCCTTCTACTACGTTCTTTGTCTTCCACGTCAAACTCACCGTTTTTAAACTTTTTAAACCACTCACGACAACTTCTCTCACTTAAAGCAGTCTCACCATATGCTTCTACAAGCAATCGATGCGCCTCAGCTGCAGATTTCTTCAAATTAAAGAAGTAAATCAAAAGTTCCCGCAAATGACGTTTATTCGGCACAAAACTTGACATTTTCGCACGAAAAAATTATGTGATACTGATACGGAGTCACTAATACTTTAAGGTTATGTTGTTACCAGATGTCCAAACTTACGATGTTACGTTTTACATCTGACAATTTCAACATAACCTGGTGGGGCCATCTTTTGTTAAACGGCGGAAACTTATTTGTAATATTCCTAATAATAATAAGTATAAATATGAGGTATAATATGAGATATATAGAGTGAATATTTTTAATCTTAACAGGCAAATATTTCGAAAATATGCAATTTTATTAAAAACTTTTTAAATAAAAGTTGTATGATGTTGAAGGGGACGAACAATAGTGACCTTGGTTTGACCTTGGGACATTTACTTAAGGTCAGAGAATGGTCAACCTAATTTTCTCAAATGGAACCCCCTATTTTTCATATCATATTCTTATAGTTGACTTCAAGACCTTTCCAAAACATTATGATAAAGTATTTTTTTATTGAGTACTTTCCGAGTTATGAGATAAAAAATGAGCTAGAGATTGAAGACGCTGCCACATAGTTATCACTATGGAAGGGATGTGGTGGGTATGTTTCCGGTCCCAACAAGAGGCATCTCTGCGCGGAAGGAGAAAACTATTGAGAAGCGACGAGCGATAGACAATTGAGAGACGGATTAGCCACGAGGTGATATGTAGATGTAGCGCTCTGGATTAATGAAATTGTTAATTTGATTAATGAATCTGTTAATGAAATGCGCCTTAGAAAGTACATAAGTGACGGTCTGTGGATGAGTCACTTTAGGTACATAATTAAGTACAAAAGCATTAAAATTAAAACTTTGTTTCCTTGATCATTTTTAACATGATTGATTATTCACCAAATGAAATTGTCGATATAATCATTGAATATGGAAGGAGCAATGAAAATTCAGAGAATGTGCCAGTCAGTATGCATTACGTTATCCAGATCGTCGATGTCCCAGTCATGTAACAATAATCAGTCTTATAAATAGGGCCTATGAAGGTAATTTATATCGCAAACGTAAAAGAAAATCTTTAATTGATGATAATGGTTTGACTATAGCTGTTTTAGGGATGACAGTCATAAATCCTCAAATTAGTCAATGTATAATCAGTCGAGAACTCAATATTTGTTAAAAATCTGTTCAACAAATTTTAAAAGCGAATCATTTTCATGCTTATCATATTCGATATCATCAGGCACTTACTGAAAATAAAAAACGGAAACGCGTTGAATTTTATCATTGGTTTGAGAAGATTACAGGAAGATCCGACTTTCTTTGACAAGGTTTTATTTACCGATGAATCTAATTTTCAGAATAGCGGTGATTTAAATCGTCATAATTTCTATTATTATTCAGATGTAAATACATTTTGGGTTCTTCATATAGATCATCAGCATCAGTGGAAAGTAAATGTTTGGTGTGGCATATTGGATGGCCAAATTATTGGACCTCATTTTTTTGAAGGTAATCTTAATCGAAAAATATATTTATAATTTTTGCAAAATGATCTACCTGAATTTTTAGAGGATATTAATTTAGAAACTAGAGGACTCATGTGGTTTCAACACGATGGTGCGCCTCCGCACAGAGTTAACATTGTACGAGACTATTTATACCAAAGATATCCTGAATATTGGATAGGATTTAACGAGTATGTCCAATGGCCTCCAAATTATCTCGATTTGACACCTTGTAATTTTTTTCGATGGGGATTCATTAAAAGGATTGTTTTTGCTACGGAGTCAATGAATTCGATCGATATGAGAAATCGCATCACCAGAACTTTGGCAACTATTCCTGAAGAAGTCCTTCAAAGGACTATTATTGCGTTATGTGATAGGTTCTAAATGTGTATTAAAGTGAATGTTGATACATTTGAACAAATGTTATAAATTCACGTAAATCGTGAGAGGTAAGGGGACTTACAGAAATCAAGCATCCCAAAAGGAACAGAAAACTATGTCCACGCCGTTGTTCCTGGGTAGCGCTAAAAATAGAATTAGAATAAAAAGTGTATTTAAAAAATTCAAGATGCCCAACCTGAACTTGAGGACAGTATATCGAAGTTAACCAAGATTATCATTCTTTCTTTGCCTCAAACCTAATCGTTTTAGGGGGGGAGATCCCTTTATAACCTCCAAAAATGTAATTTTTTGTTTTTTGCATAATATGTTAGTCAAACATGTGTAGAATATCGTCCTAAAATTTTAGAGCGGAATTCGCGGTCCTTCCGAAGTTATAGCCTATGAACGCTACTGACCTCCGCTCAGCTTGAGAGCGCGTAGCAGATATAAGCAGGTACTCGGGGCCGAGAAGCCTGCCTTTTATTATCCCGTCCTTTTAAATGTTGATATTGTCACTTCATGTAGAGCAAATGTTTCGGAAGCCGTGTATATATGAATACACGTGTTTGTCTGTGTGTTGTCTGTGTTTCATAGTAGAGTACAGTAACGGTCTTTGTTTGAGAAATTCAGAACAACGTCGCTCTCAGTTTTGCACCAAACTTTGGTATGTACAGAGCAAATTTTATAGTTTCAAAATAACATCTTATCCCTGAAATCAAGGCGAGTCGAATCGTTCACCAAAGTCACGTAAACGGCAATTCCACGACAATAAATTCACCGGTAAAGAAAGTGAAAGTGCAGAAGAGAGTGCGAGTACAAGTGCAAGTGGCAGAAAAATGCAGCTATTAGTGCAAATCCTGGGATTTTGGACCATTCTGCACCATTGCATCCAGATGTTCAAAAGCACATTTTTCCTATTTACGAGGACCTATTTCGGGATGATTTGCTATCAAAATGCTTGGACGGTCACATGCAGAATGCGAATGAAAATTTTAACTTTATCATTTGGCGGTTGGCTCCAAAACATCTGCATTCTGATGTAGAAATAGTTGAAATTGCTTTATATATTGTTGCAAACTTGTTCAACGAAGGCCAGGCTTCTATTCTAAAAACAATGAATGATTTAGACATCATTGTTGGAAAGCAAACTAAAGACTATGCTCACAGAGCCGACGAGGAGCGTGTTAAGCGGTAGGATCGACTTGTCTTCGACTAAAGAAGCTGGGAAGTCACGTAAGGAAGAGCTAATGGCTGAACTGTACGAGGAAGCTGAGGGACTACTTTATGGCCCCGGAATCGCAGATTAATCGGTAGGTTATTTAGTTATAAAATTTATGAGTCTTGAAACTTTAAACGCGTTTTTCTGAAAACCACTCTTTCGTGAACCTCATACAAGATAATTCAAAAATTATTTGATCGATCATTTTGAAATTTTGCACACTTATAGATAATATAATAACCTTCTATGTGAATCTAAAGTTCCTTGAAAGTTATTTAAAAAAACTACTTTTTGTGGGGACCCAGGTCCTCGATACGGCACTGATGGCCCGGCTGTAACGAATCTTTCTTGATCGGCTCTATTGATTGGAAAAAAAGCAAGGAGGTCAGATAGAGTACATCGAGCCATTGTGGCAATAACAGCTTTTGATCGAGAATACTTTGCAATAAGCAACGATCTATAACGGCTCCGCTGTGACCAATTCTTGTACACTAATATTTTAAATAAGATTTAATAATATTTTAAATAAGAATAAATACTATCGTAATACCATATCTTTCATCAACAAATATAGTATAAATTTCATGAAATATCGAAATTTTTTTTTCAAACGTACCATTTTCGAATTTTCACTTTTCTTTGAATTTTTTAAGTTCACATAGAGCGTATGGGTCTTAAAAATCTAAAACTTTTGTCTCTGATGTTTCTGATTAATGCAGCAAATGCTAGGTTGTACGCCATGGAACAATTCAGGCGGTAACCGTGGCAACTCTGGCGGCAACTCTGAAGCAAGTGCCGTAAAGCCGCCATTTTGAAATATTAAAAAAAAACCAAAATTTTTTTCGAAAGTTAAAAGATAGAATAATATGTACATAAAATTCTAATTATGTAGAATAAATAGTTTCCTCACAAAAAAATCGCAAAAATTCGCTTATTTTCTATTACTTAAATGGATCTCCCCCCTTAAGATAGTGGATTGACTTATCCTTCACCTGTTAACTTTTGAGTCGTGATAACTAAGTACTCAATAAAAAAATATTTTATTAAAGCGTTTTGGAAAGATCTTGAAGTCAACTATAAGAATATGATATGAAAAATAGGGGATTTCAATTGAGAAAATTAGGTTGATCATCTTCTGACCTTAAGTAGATGTCTCAAGGTCAAACCAAGATCACTGTTGTACGTTCCCCTCAACATCATACAACTTTTATTTAAAAAGTTTTTTGTAAAATTGCATATTTTCGAAATATTTGCCTAGTTAAGATTAAAAATACCCAGTATGTCATAAACTTATTACGCATGTAATATTTTTTTATCATTACATTACAGTAATATTTTTCATCATTGTATTAATAGATTATATAAAAACATGGTAGACTTAGGTAGAATGCATGCAACTGGTATATGTATATGTCAGTCAGCTTGTTTATTAATAGACTATCTTTTCAGATGAATATTTGAAATGAGTCACTTTGTAAAGGGTGTCCCAAAATTCACGCAAGAAGTAATTTTGATAGAAAACACAGTTTTATGATTGAAAATTGTAAATTTTTTATTGCTTCATAAAGTATACTGTATAAGGTTATGTATGGAATAGCGTATCGGGTAAATGGCCTCCATAGCTTTGCTGGCACATATGCACTCTTTTGTTGAAATTTTCCATGACCGTTTTGCATAAATGTAGCTGAATTTCGTTAATATGAGCGCTCAATTTCCTTTTTCACGGCGTGGGTGGTCGTGGGCTTGTTGGCATAAACCTTAGATTTCAAAAAACCCCAAAGAAAAAAGTCCAACGGCGTTAAATCGCATGATCTGGGCGGCCAAATCTGATCACTAAAACGGGAAATTACACGACCAGGAAATGACTTATGCAGTAATTGAATTGTTTCTCGGGCTGTATGGCATGTGTCTTGTTGAAACCACATGTCGTCCACATCCATATCTTGCAATTTAGGCACAAAAAACTGGTTTATTATGTTGCGATAGCGAGCACTGTTATTACCTGACCAACCGCATTTTCGAAAAAGAATGGTCCGATGATGCCTCCAGCCCAAAATTCGCACCAAACAGTGATACGTTGTGGATGCATTGTTTCTCAACAATCACTCGTGGATTTTCTGAACCCCAAATGCGACAATTTTGTCGAACCAAGCCATCAAGATGAAAATGAGCCTCATCGCTGAAGATGATTTTGTTCGAAAAATCAGCATCCACTTGTTCCATTCAACGAACTCTCTTCGCTGTGGCGGTTTACTCGATATGCTATTCCATACATAACCCTATACTGCATACTTTATGAATCAATAAGAAATTTGCAATTTTTAATTATAAACCTGTGTTTTCTATCAAAATTACTTCTTGCATGAATTTTGGGATACTTCTTATAAATAATATTCAGGATGTCCCATTTTAAAACCTGCACGCGAATATCTGTGAATGATCAAATTTTCAAAAGAAATGTTTCAGATAAAAGTTGTTGGGTTCAGAGGCGGCCATCTAATGACGACTTTAACCTTGATGTTGGAGGTCGCTTTGAAGGTTATTTGAAGGTCAACTTCATTTTTTAATTGGAAATTCCTATTTTTTACTGCAGATTTGTATTCTACATAAAAAATTAAGAAAGTTTTATTCTTGACGTTTTTTCGATATTCCGCATCCATCAGGCTAAAAATGCTGTTTAAACATTGGTAAAATGATTTTTTCGAGCAATGTTTTTGACCTCTTGTCTTAACAGTAAGATCGGTGGTATATCCGGCCAGTTAAAGATGTGTATCTATGTGTATCCATGTCATAGGGTCCAAGTGATTTAATCACTTTTTAATTAGGAAGATGCTCAAAAGATGCACCATTTACCTGTTGACGAAGTACAATTCGTCTTTGAAAGTGTCTAACAGTATTTAATAATACTTGGCGTGGAATGTTTAAGTAGGCTATTGTAATTCTTTCCATCATGTCAGCTCTTGTAGTTGGTCTATTGCGGTAAACCGTATTTCTGAGATAACTCCACAAATAAAAATTAAGAGATGACAGATCCGGAGATCTTGATGATCATTCTACGGGACTTCCTTTAACTATCCACCGATTGTTAAATCTTTCATCAAGGAAATCTCTAACAATAAGAACATAATGTGGGACTGCGCCATCTTGCTGTAGCCACATCCTGGCCCGTGTAAGAAGATAAACATTTTCTAGCAGAAGTGCAAGTTCGTTTCTAAGTAATTGTAAATAAGTATGCTTATTTATATTACCATTAAAAAGTATGGTCCAATTATCCGTTATCCGTTAATAATTCCACATTACATCGTTACACTCCAGCGATGCTGAAGGACAACTTCTTACATCCAATGAGGATTAATCGGAGATTAATAGTGGGAATTATAGCGATTCAAGATGCCAGTACTCTCAAATGTAGCCTCATCATTAAAGAGAACATTGTTAAAGAAATTATCATCGTCGATAATTTGTTGTGTTGCCCATTGGCAAAATGTTATTCTCCGTCGATAATCTTCTTCAGTTAAAGCTTGATTTAGAGTTTTGTGATAAGGATGATAATGAGTATTTTGTACATATCTACTGGCAGTAGATCTCGGAATGCTCATTATTAACTCGATTTCACGTAAACTGACATGAAGATTTAAATGTATCATAGCTAGTATAGTAATAAAGCGAGGATTATTTTCATAATCATATTCATTCAGTGCCTTCCTTCTTCGAACGAAATTTTCTTGTCGACCATGTAGTTCAATGTCACGTATTACCGTATGATCAGAGTGTCGTCTTTTAGGAAATCGAGTACGATATAATCTTTCTGCCGCTTAATAGTTTTGTCGACATACTCCTAAAATAAGAATATCAACAATTTCATTGGCATATAATCAGGCATTCTTTGCGAGTTGTAAATATTGAGATTATTTATCAAATTGGAAATTTCCGGTCAGAAAAATAAGAAATGACAACAACAAATTTTAATATGATAACATTTGAAAAAGTACAAGAAAACAAAAATTAGATATTATGGAACTATATTTTTTTAAAAGAAAAAACTCGGTGTAATTTCTATTACCAGTACAAGTAATTAATTTAAATGTAAATGAAAATTTGTTATAATGTGCAACAGTATTTTTTGCTCTCACCTAGTAAGATGCAAAGTGACTTCCTTCTGGATAAGCCTAAAGAAACGAATCAAAATTATGTCGTACTCTACAGTAATAACTTTCATATTTGTTCACTCCATACAGATTTAATACTGATGTACAGATAATTCTCCGTAACAAATAACAAACAAATACTCATGACATCCATATGTACACATCAGAACGTAGAATTTTCTGTATTCTTCATTTTAAACTCAAAGAGGAGAGTTTCCTATTAAAACTTTCAAATTTATCTTCAAATGATCTTGAAACTTCAAGGTCGAGATCATTATCAGATGGCCCCCTCTGAACCCAACAACTTTTATTTGAAATAATATCTGCTGTCGATCCTACTTTTATAGTGAATTCATTCGAATACCGAAGTTGACATTGAAATGACCTCTAAAAATCACTTGAATCCTATAACATATGTACATTGAACGTAAAATTTTCCAAACTTACTTTAACTGGCCGGATCTATCCTCGATCTTGCCTTAAGGCCTCTGGATGGTCACTGCGACCATATTGGAATTGTGACATCATAGGCGAGAAGTGCCACGCTAAGAATTCTTGCGTGCCATTTCAAAATGAAATTATATTTCTCCAAAACAAGACACGAAATGGCTTCAGCACACTTGTAAAAAGTTCCGAGTTTTCCCCTTTTGCTTCAACAGTTAACACAACCGTAAAATGGGCTATGAAAAGAGGCCTATTTACGCGAGAAAACGCGTGGTCGAACAGCTGATCAAACGAGTAGAAATTATGCTTCCACCTATCATATTTCACAAGAAACCGAGAACTCGAAATTTCTTACAGGTTTTCTAAATATGTCACGTCACAGAAATTAATAAAAACTACACCGAATAATAAAAAAAATGGCATGCAATAATTGTGCCGTCAACATGTCACTTTTCCACGCCTTTTAATTCAGCGTTGTGCAGCGAGAGGCACTGTATGTAACATGTCGGTAACTTAGGGTTCTTTTACATGTTGTATCCATGGTAGAGAGCCTCATAGGAAGTGAGTGGCAAACTGATCACGTCTCCAAGTCTCCAGATCACGTGACCAGGTCTCTGGTGATTCGATGGAGGCATAAAGTCTTTTTGACCAATTAGAATATCGATATAGCAAGACGACAGGTTAGTTTTACAGTGAGTTTTTAAAGCAATCTGACGTACACCTGTCAATCATTAGAGGAGGTTACGACAAGTCGCACAAGATATTCGCCTACGAATTAATAACAGCAATAAAAATTAGATATCCGTAAGTAATAAATATTAATTGTGAAAGAATATTTGTCGCTTCGATTTACATAGAATAAGAATCGTAATATATATTATTTACATAATTTTGTGTCTTATGTATAGTATAAAACGCCTAGACTGCTTTTAAAACTCACTGTAAAACCAACCTGTCGTCTTGTTATATCGGTATTCTGATTGGTCAAGAAGACTTTGTGCCTCTATCGAATCAGCAGAAACTTGATCACGTGATCAGTTTGCTACTCTCTTCCTATGAGGCTCTCTAATCCATGGGTAAGATGAATTAGACAAAGATCAACAGCGAATCTCTGTCTGTCTCTATCTCACTACTGGCCAGCTGACAATGGCATCAGCAGGCACAAGCTGTCGGCGATCCTATATTTAATGATCTCTCTTCTCTTCCGTACTCGAGTGCTGTGGCTCTTGCAGCCAGCGTGATGCGCGACATGTTATCTGCAATGTGCGTACAGCTTTTATAGATAATGAGAAAATGTCAATATTTTCAGCAATTTGCGTTGCTTAGAACCAATGATACGATTTTAAGCTTTTATATACGCGTTTTCTGTCCACTCTGACGCACATTCTTAATCTAACCGTGTGACGGCGCACTTACACACAGATATACAGATTGTTTTGTGTGCGTGGAAGTGGGAAGAAACTTATCGCTTATGTGGGCGAGTTTGAAATCGTATCTTTTTTTTTGTTTACGGGGGGAAATCCTCATGGATACCCCATCCCCCTTGGGGGAGAAGGCGGGGTTATGCCGGACTCTTACCGGTTAAAACCCCCTCGGAGTGTCTGCCAGGCGGGCCGGAATGGGGGGAGTCAGGGGAACTACGCCGGTATTCCCTCCCTGACACCTCGGCCCTGAGGCTCTTAGGGAGTCCCTCGCGCAAGTGCCGCGGCCTTCCCCTAAAAGGAACGAGGCGCGGCGTCCCAACCGGTTACCCAGTCGGGTTAGCCATGCAACGGTAACGCCCGGTGGTTCGGTGCGATCGGTCGCACACCGTCGCGCTCCGCTCGCCGCTCTCGCGGCGTTTGCTCGCCGGGCGTCGGTGTTTAACTAGCCGGATTGAGGAAGGTGATTTGTAATATCTGGTACTCGGGTTTTGTTCGGTGGTATATCTTGGTGAGCCCCTCGAGGAGGCTCGTTTATTTTAAAATTGTTCTGCAATATATTTATATACACGTACGCCTCGGTGGCGAATTACGCCGGTAACACAAAAAAACTTTGACTAAGTAAGTCCGCCACAGAAGGATCTTTCCGTCTCCTGCGGTGGCCGAGAGGATGCCAGGCTGCTACGACGGTTATTCGTCGTCCCTGTGCCACGACCCTGATGATAGCGGCGGTTAGAATAGTGATCTGGTTAACATGGATATTCGTTAATCCCGTTGGTTTACCGCGGTCAACACGGACAGACGAGCACTTGTATTTTCCCTTAACAGAAACTTATAAATTATTCTATGTCGGTGGCTAACTGCTGCCGACACAGACAGACGAGCACTTATATCGCGAACGAAAACTTAGAAATTATTTTATGTCGGTGGCTAACTGCTGCCGACACAGACAGACGATCACTGTAATTTCGCGAAGACGGTCGGTTGACGAGGTTCGGCTGCCGAGTCTTGTAAATTTCCCGGTATTTCGATACGGTACTTGTGGAAATTCTACTCACGGCTTTCATGCCTTGCTTTCGTCGACTTCTCTTTGCGTTGCTCTTTGCGTCTTCTGGTTGCTGCTCGGATCTCTTCCTGTTCTCGATGGAGCTCTGCTCTGTAGTTGGTCTCGCTTTGAGACGACTGACTGTCTTGATCTCTTCTCGAGAGCGGGTTATATAGGGTAGACCGAGGCGAATCGGATCAATGTTTCTTTATCGGTAAAAAAGTTATTAAAAACGAATTTTGTTATTTAATCTTATTATAAGTTTATTATCGTTAGACCTTTGGCTTGAGTTTTATATAATATAGTAATACATAAACATAATATTTTTTATTTCACAACGAAGAAATGAGGAAAAGGGAATTATCCGATTCGCCCCAAAATTGGGGGCGAAACGGATCATTAGTTTAGGTCTTAAAAAATGAATATAATACAACTAATTCTTTGAAATTAACTAGTTACATAAAAAAAATAAAAAAACTACTTTTAAAAAGTAATAAACTCTTGGAAATAAACAACTTACATAAATAAAAATAAAAAACAACTTTTTAAAAATTAACAAACACTTTGTAATTAATTATATTAGAAAAAATATTTCATTTAATATAGAATTCGCAAGTAAAAGGTCCTTTTTCACCCCTTCTATCAGCACAATTCTCGTGACACCATTCTTCACATTTGTTGCATTGAATCCAGCCTTCGATAGGTGGATGAACGAATTTTTCATTGCAATAGATGCAATGCCAGTCTCTAGATGAATTGCTTTTATTCTTAATATTAATTCCTGATGTTGCCTTACCTTTTTTAATTGACTTTATGGAATAATTTTTATTTGATTTATTTTTTACTTTGTTCACTTTTTCTGTCTTCTTGCATTTTTTTTTAAAGCATATGCCCTGTTTTCAGAAGAGGTCAAAAATCGGCTTCTTGGCAACTTTACATTTTTTTGCAAGTATTTGTTTTTCAGGTGTTCGAAATATATCTTTTAAAGTCGCAGTAATGGCATTATTGCTAATAACATGATTATCAGTACTAGTTGAAGGCTGTGGATCGGTAATAAGATTGATTCGAGAGCCACTAGTTGAAGATCCCTCTGTTGTAGAAATATTAATGTCATCATTTGAAGTTATACATGATACGAACTTATGAAGTGGTATAGCATGAGGATTAAAAGGGTATATTCCAGTCTTCTCAAATCCCTTTGAAGCATTTCCAACAAAAGTAGATAAATTCCAGGCGTGTTTCAATAGACCTCTAAAAACGATTTTGGTTATTCCTTTACCGTTATTATGTTGCTACTAAGTTGCTCTTTGATGATAATAAGTTTTCAAAGGCTTGAAAAAAGAAACATCGAGTGGCTGAAATGCATGCGATGTGTGTGGTAGAAGGAGTATGAGTTCAATGTCGGATTTTTCACACAAATCTACTACTGTCAAGTTAGTGTGAGATACATGACCATCTAAAATCAAAATTACTTTTCCTTTTGTACGGTATCGATTAAAATGAATTAACCACGCCTTAAAAGCTTCCTCAGTAACCCATCCTTTCTCTGTCATAAAAATTTCTGTTCCAGAAGGCATGTTAATCATAAAATCATCTCATTTACATTTACCTTTAAAAATGACAAATAGAGGTATAAAATGACCAGCTGCATTCATACATGCTATGACTGTCACATTTTCGCCACGTTCAACACTAGTCATGCTAATGACATCTCTACTTCCTTTCTGTGCGATGATATGTGGAGGACGGTTATTCAGTGGTAGACCAGCTTCATCCTGATTATATTATATATACATTCTGGCCTTCCTTGCAAATTGTTATTATCAATAACCTTTTGTAGCACTTCGTAAAAAACTTTAACTTTTTCTTTCTGCATGCCATTAATTCTTGCTCTAGACAAACCCTCTGGCTTTCTAATAGCAATATTTTTATTTCGAAGCATAAATCTATGAAACCAGTCCTTTCCTGCCATCTCAGTATCGGTATTAAAATTATGTTTTAAATTATGGCGAACAGCAAAATGAAAAGCATATTTTCATACGTTCTTCGGGGTAATACCAAATCCTCGATTAGCCAGATAAATTAAACGGTCAGCAAACTTCTTTTCAGTCACTATGTCCATAACAGGCTGTCCACCACAATGTTTAATAATATTTCCGGTAAAAGCAAGTCGCCTCTGTAAAGTTGTATATGGAACCTCATAACAATCAGCAGCTTGACGCAAAGTCATTTTTCCAGACTTTACTTTCTGCACAGCCTCATTCATCATTTCTTGAGACCATGATTTGTTAGTTGATTTACGATTATATGTGCGAACCATCTACAAGAAATAAAAATGAACGTGATTTTATAATAGCTATATAAAATGTCGAAAAATTTCATGATCCGAATTACCCCAAAAAAGTTGATCCGATTAACCCCATATGTCAGTTTCATAATATATTCGTTTTCTCGAAACTATCTTAACAATATTATTTAATTATTTATTAGACTAATTTAGCAAATTAAACGCTTAAAAAATCATTATAATTTGCATAAGTTTCAACATACCTTTTTGTTATAAAATTACGAAGATGAGATCGAGATTTTACATCAGCGCCAAAATTTTCTCGTGTACTCGTGACTCGTGCGCTTCTATCGTCGACTGACACAAAATGACACGCGATACAGAGCTGCTGTCTATTGTTTTCGGTGCGGGGAGAACGTGCGGAGGTAACACACGATATAACAATTTGTTTGAAGCAAAAAACTAACGACAACTGTCTTAAAGCTTATATTGATCCGATTCGCCCTGTGATCCGATTCGCCTCGGTCTACCCTACCCTTAATTCCTCCCGATGATCGGTGGCCGATAATCGGGGGGGCTTGTTCCCCCGATTTTTCGGGAATTGGCGCATGCGATTGCGCAAATTACCCCTTTCTGGGGGGCTGATCTTTCCCGACCGTTTGGCCGAATTCGGCTTTTCCCGATTGTATGTCGGGTTGCCGCCGCGCGGGTGTTCGGTGCTGTCGGGGGGCAGGCGGCGATGTGCATTCGTGCGACGACCGATGGTCGTCGTCGACACGATAGTAACGAGGTAATTTTTAACCCTCGTTACAGCCACCTGGTCCTAACGGAGGAAAGAGGGGACACCCTCTTCTTATCCCCATTCTC